GAATATCTTGAGGGGACTTTACCGCCTGAAAAATTTACTCCCAGTGAAAACAAAAACGATGCTGGTGCAGACCTTAATTTTCCCAATCATCGACTATGGTGATGTGTGTTACCTCGACCTGAATGCAGATCTGCTCAATAAATTAGACCGACTTCTCAACAACTGCATTCGGTTCATATTCAACCTTCGAAAGTACGATCATGTATCCGCTTATCGCAGTCAATTGTCATGGCTACCTATAAGACAGCGCCGCAGTTTGCGGGCGCTGACTATGTTGCACTCCCTTCTCCACACACCTACCTCACCTACTTACTTAACATCCCACCTGCAATATCTCTGCTCCAACCATGACAGAAGCCTTCGCTCCGCTGATAATTTCCTCCTTCTTTGTCCTTCACATAGCTCCCGTATCATACATTCTTCCTTCACTGTCCAAGCGGCAAATCTTTGGAACGCCCTTCCCCTAGAGATCAGGACATCCACCAACCGAACAATCTTTAAGACCAGAGTACGCAAGCTTTATGGAGACTTGTTGACGGAGTCATCAAAATAACCCCTTGTGTGTTCATCAACGCAGGCATGTATGTATGAATGTATGTGTGTATGTTTATGTTTTTTTTTTTATATTTATAGTATTATATAGTACGTATAAATGATATTTGCATTTATATATGTATCCATCTTGCAACCGACTACAATTTAAATAATTTACCTCATTATATACCTGCCATACACAAATCTCTGCATCACCCCAAGGTTGACTGGAAGAAAATGCCTATGGCATTAAGTCCGCCTTATGCAATGTATTTGCAGGAAGTATAAATAAATAAATAAATAAATAAACATAATAATTCCCAATTAAAAAGAACTCTCACTAACTTTTGCTAGTACTTTTCGCTTTTCTTCGCAGTTGTTTACTCATTGTATTGCAAAACTAATCTGAAGCTACACCGCAAGACGGCGGTTATGTAATAACTGTATAAGCAAGCTTTCCATTGTAGAAAGTTCCAGAAAGTTACTCTAGAAATGTTGTTATAACCTGATAGACTCTATACCCTTCTGGAAACTTCTGTAATATCGTGGAACATTCTTAAGTATTGGATTTAGCTTGATTACTCGATAACTTTAGGCAATTGTAACACTACTCAACTCTTCATCGTAAAATTAGCGTCAACATTGCCAGGATTGCAGAAAAGTAGATAAATCTACCTTCACCAGAAAGAAAAGCTTTTCTCGAGGGACAAAAACTAACACACTTTTCCACAAATAAAAAGGTTAGTTTTACAACTGTCCAATTACATTTACATAATATTTTCTTACAAATCCCATACCCTTGCGATACGCTTAACCTAAATGGCACATAAAACTTATTCTTAACGTTCAAAGTTCGTCAAATCCGTAACTCAAACATTGAACAGATAAGTCGGCATGTCATTAAATACGGCGGGAAACCATTTGTCGCCCGCCTAACCATAGTTCAGCAAAGTTTTCACATTAAACTCAGCGATACACAGGCAAAAGACATCAAGTATTCAGCCAAGCGCTCTAATAAATTACTTTTATAAAATACTGTTTGTAATGAGAAAAATGGATTTACGCACACACAAAGTTTTGCCAAAAAATACTTGGAATATTAAGGTTTTAAGCACAATTTATGTTTTGTAACTTGTAGAAAGGTTATAATTTTTTCTTTTAATCGTCGCACATCTCGGCAGCTTTAGAGGCAAAGTCGAAGGGTCAATGAGCTATTTTGCAAACAAAATTGCATCCATTTTGCCACAGACATTTCTACCGTAATTTTTGCAGGCATCAACAGCAATAATATTTTATTTAAAACAAATAAAGTATTGAAATTTATCTCACGAGATTGTCGATATGTGGAATTTTGAAAAAAAGCGAGAAAGGATAGGATAGACCAACAACAACTACCCGTCATACGTCAGTAAGATATTCGAATCTCCATAGAACACTAGCTTGAAGCAACAACAAAAAACAGCCTAAATTTCCCCTTAAAATACTCGAACAAATACGCAGAGATTATATAAATTTGACTGATAGCTGCAAATATCAATAGGCTTAAATATAAAACAGTTTCAGCTTTAATATATTAGAAAATAATCTAAATCACTTTTAAAAACTTTTATAGTAGTTCTAAACTAACAAACTAACCAAAGTTCTCCCAAGCCTAAAGATTTCTTCAAGTATTACTTACGTAAACAAACAGCAGTTACTGTGGGCCCACGCATCCTCAATTCACCCTGAATCTATTCTAATATTATTAAGCTGAAGAGTTTTTTTTTGTTTGTTTCGTTAAACGCGCTAATGTCAGAAACTTCGAATTGAAAAATTATTTTAGTGTTGGACCCATTTATTCAGGAAGGCTATATAACATCACGCAACGATCAATAGGAGTCAAATATCATTAGAAATGCTTAAAAAACGGGCAAAATTTATTTCTTTTGTGAGACGTAAAGGCAATTGACGGGCGGGCCTGTTGGTCTAGTGGTTAGTGACACTGAGTGATACAAATATTATCCCCCCCCCCCCCCCCACTCAGAATCAGGAAGCAGGGGATTCTGGGATTCTATGAGGAATATGCTTCCTTATGAGGAATATGCTTGATTTAAAAAGCTGGGGTGGGGATCTATATATTAATTTAATAGTTAAAATTTAATACTCACACACAATACCGAACACTATTGAAACAAATATATGCTAAGTAAAAATAAAAATTACATCAATATTACGTTTCACAATAACCATATTCATTAGAGGATTAGAAGATTATTGGATATAATTACGGAAGTATTTTAGGAGATTCAAGAATCTGTCTCATTAAATTGAACGATAATTAATATTAGTCCCTCGTCGGGCGCCATCCAGTAGATAACAGCAAGCAACTCTGTTTTCATCCTACCAATTATAATTTAGCAAATATCCCACCGCTCCAGGGGCGTGCGCTCCTTGTAGGCAGAAATGCAGTGCTTTACTTGCTATTCACAGACATTTTAATAAAACGTTGGTACGTTTAAGATGACTTTAATTAATAGTAAATAAATGAAAAAACAAAATATAATAACTTAAAAACAAGTTTATTTTTAGTTATTGTTTGCAAACAATAACTAAAAATAAACTTCAATGAATTACGATAGAACGGGAAGACAAATCAAATAACTTGAACAAATAGTCTGTCTATAATAGTGTGTAAATAGGTGTGGCCAGTAGGTACCTGCAAAAGTCGTATTATTTTGCAACGATGAACTGAGAGCCTAGTGCAAATTTATTACACATCCACTCGCTCCCGAAAGCGAGCGCGTTCGGCGTTGCGATTGGTGAAGATTTCAGTGCGATGCAGTCACAGCGCTGATCGCGGTCACCGTGACGTGACGTGATGTAGAATAAACTAGTGTGGCGACTCCCACAAACAACAAAACAGAAACATACTACAGCGCCATCTAATGAAGACACACCGAACTACGGAGTAACTACTAAAATAAGAATTAATCCTGTATCGCGATATAAAGAATTCCCTCGCCGATTAGCATTTATACAACTTCCCAACATCAACCCGGGCCGCGGCCCGCCAGGCATGATCACCTCGGCTGGTCGGAGGATCCTCCCTTTGTGTTGGAGGGACATGACACCCGTTCCTCCACACTAGCACTTGGGCCTGTAATAAACTGACATGTCGAATGTGAGAATCCATTGTTCTTGTGAAAGCTTAATTGACTAATAATATTATTTATGAATGTTTGTTAATATCTAAGCCACTTTATAACCTATCTTCGCCTCCCCCTGGTGATACGTATGAAATTTTAGATTATCGACCATATCCTTCAGCGACATCTTGTACTTTTTGAGAAGATTATCTTAAAATACAGATAATTCAATTTTGGGTAATTAAGCACCGTATCAGATAAAGTTTGGACAGACATTAGGAGGACTACTTCCAACTGGTATGAAAAAATAATAATAGAAGCCAAGTAATAAGCCAATAAACATGTAAAAACACAGTCTCAACAATTTTTCAGTTTAGAGCACATGTGTTTAACGTAAAATAAATGGACAAAAAGTAAGTAATTACATCTTGCCACCCCTTTGAGTTAATTTGTGACTTTTCCGAACCTCCAATGATGTAACTTTTTATGATTATTTTGCCTACAATATCCTATTTTAAAGAAGAGATTACTAATAACAACAAAGCTGAAACTTCACTTGCATAGATTTTGCTTATACAGCCAATGGCGCCCAACGAGGGACTAATTTTAATTATCATTCCATTCAATGAGAAATCTCCTTGAACCTCCAAATATTATTGCCTTAATTATATCCTATAATCTTCTAATCCTGTAATCCCGAGTTTATTGCACCCCATCCCTACTACTATAACGTACAAAGTTGTATCGTAAAAAATATTTGATGGCGGCCATTGCTGACAACGGGCGTATGTTATTTATTGCTTTGATACCGAGTTGCTACTGAAATGTACTGCGTGAATTGTGTACTATGGGGACCTGTAGAGTTGTTGTTGTTTAAAACACAAATATCATGCTTTCCAAAGTGAAATAATAATTCTTAATAAAGATGGAGAACAAAATAATCTTTAACATTATGTTGACTTATAAAAGTTTTCTTAACAAAATAAATGCGATTTATAGAAATATAAATCATAAAATAATTTAATTATTAATTTTTTAAAGAACAACAAAAGGATTTTACAAACATATTTTTAAAGACAACTCTACAGGTCCTCCTATGAACCTTTAAGTATTTCAATATTGGTCTAATATTGATACAACTTTTTTGAGTTGGTTGTGATTGGTTGAACTCCGGTTACCTCACTCACTTGGTGAAACTGAACAAAAAATGCATTTAAAGAAGTTTGTGGTGTGGTTTCTGTGTTATCACCGGCCGACGCATGGCTCTACTTCGCAAAACCCCCACTTCACCATTAATGCATGTGATTTCTTTTAAAAAAAAAAATTATGTGCCCCTTTCAGAAGCGAACAATCCTACAATCGCACGGTACAGTCAGTCTCATCAGTGGGCGCGTTGTCAGTGCCTTGGTCTGCTGGTGATGCCCGGCTGGCCATGCCCGCAGCGCTAGGAGTCGCCGGCATACCTGCTCTGGTCATCACTGACGGCACAGGGAAGGTGCTCACTGCTAATGGAAGAAATCATCTCGCTGCTGATCCTCTTGGATTTGTAAGTATACTTGATTAGGTTTGGATAAATCGTGATTTTAAATAAAAACCTACTAAGAGTTAGGATAAGAATTAATTTACTAAATGCTGAAAGATTGTGTGAAAAGCTTACGACTCTTACAAGGTATTGATAAGATTCATCATCATCATCATCAACAGCCTTTATCAGTCCAAATATCCAAATACTTACTCAATGTCAGAAAAACTATAAGTAAAAATAATAATAACCTCACAAACACGACCTTCTGATCCGAAAAAATGAGTAGCAATGTTTTTATTATTTTTAATAAAGAGTATTTACTGTTAGTTTAAAAATGCTACTACCAAAAATAAGTTACCAAACCTCCATTTTGTAATTTTAAAAAATCCTTTCTTAGTGCACATCTACGTCACCTAAGAAACATTTGTTCAAAATTTCATGCTTCTAAATCCAGTAGTTATGCGTCGATTAGTCAGTGAATCAGTCTTTCAGTTTCTTCCTTTATATATATAGAAAGGCTAAGGTTGAATATTAAAAAACTACGCAGAACAACAGCACTGCAGAGAGAAGGAAAACTTGACACAAACCCTTTTTTTTTTTTTTTTTAACGTGTGGAAATCCCCTCGGACCGTCACCCCTCCGGGGTTTGCGGCGGGGTGGTGTGTCGGACTCGGACCGACTAAAACCACACGGTGTGCCACTCTGCGCCTGTAACAGGAGGGATCCGGGAACAGCTGTTGTTAAGACATCCGGACCCCTCCTAGCGCCAGCCCGCTCCTGGTGCGGGCTCCGTCTCGATGTTGTTCCTCTCTTTAGGCGACGTCCGGCACACGCGGACGCCGCCCCCTCGCGGCTGGCCAAACTAATGCGGGTGGAGGGGAAACCCACCCCGTCCACCCGCGGCCACACTCAGGGCGGCATGAGGCTGTGATATGCGGGCCTCCGCCGCCCGGTTCGCCGACGGCGGATCGGGTCCGAGTGGAGGTCGTCCTCCCGGGCCCTCTCCGCCGCCTCCTTCCGCGAGATTACTACCTCGCAGAAGGTTGCGACCGCGGTAAAACAACTGTCGCTACCGGCCATGGAGCGTACTACGGCCGGTAGCGAGAGATCCACTCCGATGACTGCAGTGAGGGCCCGGCGCTGCGCCGCCCATGCTGGGCAGACCGCCAGCGTGTGCTGGGCCGAGTCCTCACTGCAGTCGCAGTGGTGGCAGGCGGGACTCAGTTCCCTCCTAGCGACCGTGTGCAGGTACTTTCCGAAGCAACCGTGCCCGGAAAGCACCTGCGTCAGCCGGAAGGAAAGGGTCCCGTGCTGCCGCCCTGCCCACTCGGCGATGACCGGCTGGAGAGCCTCCACGGCGGCGAAGCCAGCGCGTGGAGTCTCCAGCCGGAACGACCAACGAGCCATCGTGGCTCGGCGAGCGGCTTCGCGCCACTCGCGCACATCCTCGGGCGGAGGGCGAAATCCGCTCTCCGCCCGGGAGTCAGCCACTCGCCGATAAACTTCGGCGAGCACTTCCGCCTCCAAATCCCACGGGGGAGTTCCGGCCAACGCGCATGCCACCTCCGTAGAAACGGTGCGGTAACCGCGTATGGCTCTGACCGCCATTACCCTCTGAGAGCGCCAGAGGCGTACCCTATTCTGGGCGGTCAGAGCCGCCGCCCACACCGGTGCACCGTACAGCGCCATTGACCGGACAACCCCCGTGTACAGCCGTCTTGTCGCGACGCTGGGTCCACCCATATTGGGCAAGAGTCGCCCTAGGGCAGACGCAGCGCCGACCAGCTTTGGAGCAAGCTGTCGGAAGTGCTCGTCGAAGAGCCACCTCCCGTCGAGGATCAGGCCCAGATATTTCATCTGGGCCCGAACCGGTACGAGGACCGAGTTGACCACGATTGAGGCGCCAGGGGGTGGACCACGACGGGGCCCATGGAATAACAGGGCCTCCGTCTTATCTAGGGCCACCCGTAAGCCCAGCGCCTCAATGCGCCCGACCACCAGGGAGACTCCCCCTGTGGCCAGGCGCGCCGCCTCTTGGAAGTTTGCCCCCCGGGCTGTCACGAGGGTATCGTCTGCGTAACAGACTACACCCAGCCCGGGGGGGAAATCGGCGCGAAGGGCCCAGTCGTACCCTATGTTCCACAAGAGGGGTCCAAGAACAGACCCCTGTGGAACACCGCACGACATGGGCCGACACCTCAGATTACCTTCTCGGTCCTCGTACACGACGGTACGCTCCTCTAAATAGTCTGCCACTAGCCGCCTCAGGTACTTTGGCACCCCATGATAGTGGAGTGCTTCCCTGATGCAGCTGAATGGCAGACTATTGAATGCGTTGGCGATGTCCAATGACACCGCCAACAGCACGCCGCCACAGCTCACGGCCTCTTCGGTCACGGCCCTCAGGCGCAACACGGCGTCGACTGTCGAACGCCCCGCCCGAAAACCAAATTGGGCGTCCGACAGATCGGGGCCCACCTCGCAGAGGTGCCGGACGATGCGGGCAGAAAGAACCCTCTCAAACAATTTGCCCGCCTCGTCCAGCAGCACGATGGGCCTATAGGCCGCGACCGAATCGGCAGGCCGTCCCGGCTTCCTCAATAGGACCAGCTTCCCGCTCTTCCAGCACTCAGGGAAGCGTCCCGACGCCAAGCTAGCGTCGAACACCTCCCGAGGCGGTCTGCCATGTGGTTGAGGGCCAGGGCCAGCACTCGGGCCGGTACCCCGTCTGGCCCAGGGGCGGTGTTCTTGGAACGGATCCGTAGAACAGCCGCCCCTACCTCCGATTCCCGGACGGGCGGAACATTATCCTCCCCGTGCTCCCCGTCATCTCCGGCCAAGGAGGCCATCGCCGGGGGAGTGTGTTCCGCTCGTTGTGGGAATAGGCCCTCAACCACTCTCAGCTTCAGAGTTTTCCGCGCCCGTCGGTACTCCTCATGAAGCCGGTCCTCCTCACCGTCTCCACGGTGACGCCGTCGACTGCGCGTGTAGGACCTCCGGGCACGTGTACAGGCCGCACGGAGGTCCGCCAGCTCCTGGGACCACCAGTAGACCTCCTTCCTTGGAGGCCGACGACCTCGAATGCGGGGCATGGCCGCATCGCATACATGCGTAATCGCATCGCGAAAGCGACCAGCCCCCACGTCGACCTCCTCGGTCGGAGCCTGAGGAGACAGCCACGAGTGAATTATGGCTGCCTCCTCTAGTAGGTCCCGGTTCAGTCTGGCAACAGCCCACCGCGGAAAGCGGGATAAACGCCGCGCCACGTGACCCCTACTGGAGTCCTGGGTCCGGGAGAGCTCAAATCGGATATACAGGTGATCCGAGAGCGTCTCAACCTCTTCCAGGACACGCCAGTTCCTTACTCGTGCGGCGAGGGCAGGGGTAGCGAACGAAAGGTCCACTATCGACCCCCCCTGCTGTCGCACGCACGTGTTGGTGGAGCCTCTGTTGAGAAGACAGAGGCCCACCGAGGCCGCCCACTCCTCTACGGCCTCGCCCCTTGCGTCCGTCCTGGGGGAACCCCACGCAATGGACTTTGCGTTGAAGTCCCCCAGCACAAGGACGTGCCCAGACGCTAGTCGCCGTATCGAGGTCTCCAAGCTGGTTAGGAAAACCTCGAAGTCGTTCAAACTCCGGTTGGGGGAGAAATAGATACCATATATGGTGATCCCCCCCCACTCGACGGCGACATATCCAGTGCCCTTGTCTCTTAGCGACAAGGGCGGGGAATGAGCCGTCGTGGAACCGACGACTGCCACGGAGCCGTCCCAGTCACCCATCCAGTTTGGACGGGGAGGGACAGAATAGGGCTCCGCGACTACGGCAACACCTATCGACCACTGTGCCATGGTTTGCAGGAAGAGATCCTGCGCCGCGGCACAGTGGTTCAGGTTCGTCTGGACCAGGAGGTTGGAGACTTGATCCATTACTGGATCGTCTCTACAACCTCCTCCATGGGCGACGACGTCGACGCAATATTGACGTCGGGGGTAGCCTGGGTCGACTGGCTAGCCCCTGACGTCTGCCGAGAACTGCGGGGAGGCTTGCAGCCTCTCTGCCCCATCTGGTGATTGGCGGGCTTATTGCCCGCCGCACACGCTGGGCAGTGAGAGGCGGCAGAGCATTCTGCCGCCTTATGCCCCGGTTGACCGCAGCGGAAACACAGTCCGCCGCAGTCAAAACAGCTGTCGCACATGACGCGCGTGTGTCCCGATGCTAGTCATTTGTAGCACCTCATCGGTCTCGCCGCCAGGACTGTGATCCTGGCGCTCACGAAACCGATGAGCAGCCTGCCGGCGTCGGCCAATACTTTGGCCGACGCTACGGGACAGCTGACCCACACGGCGCCAAGCCCTCCTGAACCGGGGCGGATGGTGCCGACCCTAACGTTGTCCGCGCTGCACCCCGTCTTCTCCCGGATTACAGCGCGGACATCTTCGGCCGTTACGGACTCGTCCAGGCCCGAGATGCGCAGCTCTGCGCACTTAGTAGGCCTGGCGATCTTTACACCATCCGTAGCTGTAAAGAGTCCCCGCAGCTTCTCGGCAAACGTGTCCGCCGTCTTGGCGCCTTCAGCCCCTGGGAACTCGAGAACTCGAGCTCCCGTTTGGGCGAGGCGCATCCTGACCCCCACCGTCCCAAAGTCGTTGGCGAGGCTGTCCCGGGCCTTTTTAAAAACGGCCGCGTAGGACAACCCGCCGTCAGCCGCCTCCGGGGACACGGTCACCACTACAGCCGCGGTTTTGGGCGGCTGCAGCTTCCGCGGCCTCTTTGCAGAGGCCGTTGCCACCGGTGGCGAAGGCTGGGCTTGGGCTGCTTTTTGGGCAGCCCTTCTGGCCCGCCTTCGGGACTTCCCTATACCAACCCGTTTGGCCAGCGTGGTTTAGTAGGCCAATACCTCCTTTCTAAGGAAAGGCTTATGTCCAGCAGTCGACTGATAAAGGCTGTTGATGCGAAGGTTGAATATTTAGAACGTTCAATAGTATTTAATAAGGTCATGCTTTTACGAGCACATTAGT